ATATAGGACTAATCTAGCAGGCACGCAAAGTTAATCCTAGTAAAGAAGGAGTCTGTTTTCTATCTAATAGTGCTTAGGTAACTCTAATCTTTCTATTAGGAATAAGGACCTATTTTCTTAGAGAAGAGTTTTAATAAGTTCTAGGGATCTAAGAGTTATAGGGTTCTAAACTGCTGTAATTAAAGCAAGGATTAGTAAGGAACGCTTAGCTAGGTAGTCTTGCGCTAAGTTAGAGTTAATTTAGGGGTGTAACCTATCTAGGGTAATTATTACTTGTAAGCAATTATCCCTCTAAGTAGTCTTTAGGTTAATCGTATCCTGTTCCCTTCTGCTTAGGATATCTGCTTAGGCGTTATAAGATCTAGGAGTATACTTAATTTAGAAGTTAAAGGGACTTATAACCTCTAGCTATCTAGCTTGCCTAGCACTAAGGACTTTAGTAGATATAAAGTACTCTAGTGCTCTATAGTCTGTGTATACTCTAATAAGGTGCTAAGTACTTATTAGGTTAGCACGCTATTTCTTAAAGGCGCAGATTATTACAAATAATTCTTTGTTATAGATTTCCTAGTTAAGTTTAGAACTAGTAAGGGTCTAACTAAAGAAGGATATAGGGTACTATTTCCTATTAGGATGCTCCTGTAAGAGGACAGCTGCAATAACTCTATTAGAGGTGTCTGTCTCTAGTTTTGGAGGGTACTTAGGATAGAAGTAAGCTAAGCTTAGGATTGCTAGTAGGGCATTCCTAAGCTAGTTAAAGGCTTGTTGGTATTCTAAAGTCTATACGAATAGGGTAGCAGGACTCTAGAGGGCGGTTAAGGGCTTAGCTATCTTAGAGAAGTTTTCCACAAATTACTAGTAGAATCTAGTAAATCCTAGGAAGGACTTTACTCTAGTTATTGTCTTAGGAGCGGACTAGTTTTAGAGTACTTTAACTTTATTAGGGTCCACCTCTAAGCCTTTATTAGTTAGGATATAGCTAAGGTAACAGGTACAGGTTGTATAGAATTTGCTTTTCTTAATATTAGCCTGTAATCTAGCAGAACAAAGACGCTTAAGGACTTTTTTAATATAGTCCTTATAAGTAGCAAGGTTTTTAGAGTAGATTAGGATATTATCTAGATAGGCAATGTAGAAGTTGTCTAAATAATCTATTAGTATATTATTTATATAACGCTAATAGGTTACTAGTCTATTACATAGCCTAAATAGTAGGACTTTGCATTTATAGGCACTATACCTAGTGTAGAAAGTAGTGTACTCCTCTAAGTTAGGGTTTATTTAGATCTTATTAAAGGCAGCACAAATATCTAGCTTAGTGAAGATTTTTGCTTTAGCTAGCTAGGACAATAGATTGTCTATGCGGGGTATTAGATACGCGTCCTTTCGCGTTAAGCTGTTAAGCTTACAGTAATCCACATAGATCCTAAGGCCTCTATTTAGCTTCTTAACACACAGGATAGGAGAGGCAAATAGGCTCTAACTAGTCTTAATAAAACCTTTCTGTAGGTGCTCTTGTACATATTCCTTAGTAGCCTAGAGTTCCTTAGTATTTTAACGATAGAGGGGACTCTAGTAGTTTAGAAGGGGTTCCTCTAGGACTATCTTGTGGTTGTAAGGCTAGTAGATTAGAAGTTTGTTAGCCTTAGCCTTGTTAAAGATGTCCTAATAGGAGTTGTAGTTAGATAGGAGCTTCTAATCTAATAAGCTATGTTTAAGAGTATCCTGTTTAGATAGGGTTTGGATTCTACGCTTAATCTTATATAGGCTAGTAGTAAAGAATTTATTAGAAGATTTTTTTATATTAAAATAGAAAGCATTAGCAGAAATAGTAGCAATTTAAAATTTTGCGGGTAGGGTAACAGTTAGCAATTAGACTAGGGTAGGTAGCGTAATAGGTTTGGTAGTAGCCCTATAAGCGGCTAGAATTTTAAGTATACTACGTATCCTGTTAATTAAACTAGGACTATTTTAGTTCTAGTTCTCCTCTTAATCCTAAAGGGCGTCTCTTTGCAAGATATTATAGGTAACTAGAGTAGACAGCACTTGCTAGTAGAGTTATACTAGAATTAGAGGAGCGGGGTCGTAGGTTAGAGGATATTTCTCTAGCTAGATTAGTCAAGATTTATCTATATTAATTAGGATTTAGAACTATTTTAGCTAGTGTTGTCTAATAATACAATCCTAAGAACCTAAGTCTACTATTATAAAGGGGTAGTTGTAAACCTTTTAGCTACTAACTATTATATAAAGCCAAATATAGTAAGCAACTAGGGAGGTAATCTAATCCTAGAACCCTTTAATAGTAAGCTTGTATAGTAGCTTTTAGATAGGTACCCTAAGCGTAGAAGAGATATTATAAGCAATTTTTAAATTAAGAAATAAGTAACCTTAGGCCCTAGTATCTACTAAAGCGTTTAGGCGAACACTAGATCTGTTAAGGCACAGGGTCGTACGTGCAAGCAAGTAGGAACTAATAAATAATTTAGTTAAGGAAAGGTTTAATAGGTTATATTAAGTTAGGCCTAGGAAGGAGAATCCTCCTAGGCGTCGTCGTTTCCTATCTAATAGCTATCTAAATTAGTTAATTCAGTGGTTTCTTCTTCCTTAGAATTCTTAACACCCTATTCTATATCTATAGCCTAAATCCTAGGGGGTTTAGGGTAGTTACTAGAGAAGTGCCTAGGCTTTCTACAATTATAGCAAGTTACTAGGATTCCTATTATAGTAGCGCTAGGAGTGGCTAGCGTAGCAGATAGGGGTTAATTATTTTAAGGGGTAGTGCCTTGTTATTACAAATAGGGCATATAAGGTTTAGCTGTTAAAGGTCTATTATAGGGTTTCTAATTAGCGTCTAAATAGGACTAGTTTCTAGAGTGTTAGAAGGGAGTTAGTCCTTTTCTAGATAATAAGGTAGTGCAGGTAGGAGCAGACAAGGTAGGGTATAGGCGGCGTTCTATGTTAAAAGTAGTAAGATAATCTACTATAGTCTTAAAATTATTGTGCTAATTCTGTTAGAAAGCAAGGTTTAGTATCCTTAGGGAAGGTGTAATCTTTATCTAGAGGTAGTAATACCACTCTAATTAGGGTACTTCTCCTCTAATAGCAAGACTCTAGAATTATAACTTAAAGGCAGGGAACGTCTCTATATTAGTTATGTACAGGCGGTTAAATATAGTCTAACTCTTAGCTATCTTATTTCTAGTAATAAAGTAGGTTTAAAGGAGGGTAATTATTTCCTTAGCTTTTTAGAACTAAAGGCTTAGGGAATTAGATAGGTAACGTGGCTCTAAGTATTCTCTTGCTAGTCCTAAGCAGTGTCCCTAGACTAACGCTATCTAAGCTCTAGAAGAGGGGTAGTAATTAGCGTTAATCTCTAGCCTATCCTAAATAGATGCTTACTATTATCTAAAAGTAGGATTAGCACTATTACTAAGTGTGGAGATATTTAGCGTCTTTTTAGATTATCTCTTAGCTTTTATAGTATATACTATAGGGTTTAATATAGAAGCTAAAGACTAGCTAGGTTAGGTAGTACCCTATATCTCCTTATAGAGGGAGGTGTTGTACAACTAATTAGTAAGTTGCTTAACTTGTTCCTCTAACCTCTCCTTTTTAGATAGGGTTAATATATATTTATCTTTAAGGGAGGTGTTGCTTTAAGATTTCCTAGGAGCACAAGGTACCTTAAGAGATAGATAAGAAGCGGGTCCTTTAAGGAGGGCGTTGTTAATTAAGTCTTCCTTATCTAATTTCTTTCTATTAGTAAATAGGCTTTTAAAAGCAGCTAAACTAGAGGCCCTTCCTTTGCCCTTATCTAATATTTTGTAGTTAATAAGAACAACAAATCTTTTCTTTTCTTTTAGGGGGTTTAGTTGTAGGAGGATATTGGCTTTGCCTCTAATTCCTCTAGGCTTTTAGTAGTCTCTAGGTCTCTACCTTAACGCAATCTAACGCGATTTTTCTAAAGGTAATCTAGCACTACCTATAGGTCTAGAAGTCTAAGCCTATAGGCTTTGGTTGTTAGAAGTTCTAATAGCTATTCTAACTATAGAGTTGCAGGGTTAGGTAGCTACTAGAACTAAATTAGTAGCTTAAAATAATAACAAGTGCGATATTCTTAAATACTATTACTAGCTAGGATAATGTTCTTCTTATAATGTAATAACTTAGGTAGGTAGGGCATCTAAAAGGTATCCTATACAACTTAAAGGTATATAGGAGTGCGCGTCTATATAGAAAAGGATAAGATTCCTATACCTATAGGTCTTGTACAAAAGGACAAGAAGAATATACCTATCCTAACCATAGGCGAGCTGTTCTCTATATACATTAGTAAGTTGGGCCTTTATTAGGCCTGACTTGGCATAGAATAATAGGTAGGCAATTCTGCCTTATTGTTATAGTAAGAGCTATCTTTATATTACTAAACTAGTATTATATACCTATACCCTTAGCTATGTAATTAAGGGTATGCTAGGAGAATAGCTATATGCTTAATAATTGCTAGTATAAGTAGTAGTCCTTAACTATTACTATAAGTAAGGTATATATTATGCCCCTATAATATATTACTAACCTATTCTAAACTTATTCTATTTACTTTTACTTACTTCCTTAACGCTACTACTACTATCCTCCTCTAGCACTTTATACAGTTGCCTAAATTCATCTCTAATATTACTATCTAGTTTAGATATGTTGTCTAGTACTACTGTACTAAACTCTAGTATAGTATTTAGGAACGCCTATATATTATTAAGAATAGGTTTAGAACACGTTTAAAAAAGATAGTAATAAAAACTGCGTTTACTTGCTTAAATTACCCTAATTTATACTTAACTATAGGCTAGTTTATATAACCATAAAAATTTGCCGCTATGACGTGGACTTGAACCTACAGGGATATTCTAACCACTCGGAGTAAAGCCCAAGTCGCCCGACGCTAAACCCATGGTCATATGACATGCCACCACGGTCGAGGGTATCGCAGCCTTGGCATGAATATTGGCTGCCTCGTGCGTTCATCCTTGGGAAAAGCCTGTATGTGCTGTACGTGTGCAGTGCCGAAGGCATTGTCAATAGGGAAAGGCACCGACAAAGAACTCGATTTGACTCAAGCAGTAGGAGAGGTAAGGCATATAGTGCTAGCAGCATCAGGTGAGTCTGTGTTGCGGAGCTTCAAACGATTGGTGTTTGCCCTGAAGAGGCAACCAAGAAACTCCGTGGCAGTCGATCAAACAGAGCCCAGGTGTGCTCACGAGAATCAGGCGATTGCCCTGATGGCTGTGTGGAAGATGATTTTGATGCACATGGATGGTTGGAAAGCTACCATGGTGGTGAGGTGGAAGGTGGAATGCATTATACTCTGCCTACTGTTGCTGTTGTAGTAGTAGGTACTGGGTAGTATGTACGGTACTGTATTGTACTACTGCCATGGGTAGTGTACCATACTGTAATACTGTACTGTACTGTACTGTACTGTACTGCCAACAGTGCTACGTAGAGTCGGCCAGATGAGAAAAAGAAGACGCGTGCGTCATCGGCCTAGCGACGGCCCACCAAGTAAACGTAGCCAGGCGCTAATTTCGCGACGCGAACAAAAGCCAGGACTCACCACCATGCAACCAAGCAGGCGGCGCAAGATGCCATGTTCATAGCCCGGAGGCGCATTGCTTGCTTCCAATCGCACTCTTGCTTGCTTGTGCGTTCGCGTCAGAGTGCAGCGGCCATGGAGCAGAGGGAGGATTATGAGGTGGGTGCCCGCTCGCCTATTGACAGCTGATGCTGATGATGGGCGAAGAAAGAGAGGCACAATCGGCCGCAGAATGGCAGCATAGGGTATTGACAGTTTGCAGGCTGCGGTTGTGGCGTTGAATACGCTGCAGTCCAACTTCTCCATTGTCGATGCCATTCGCAAGTCAGGCCGCGGCATGAACAAGCAGGCAATCCCGGAGATGGTCGAGTGGTGTCGCAAGGCGGGCTATGAGGTGTGCGGCTCTCGCGATTGCGTGTATGCGTGTATGATGGCAACCTAACTGACGACGCCCCGTAGCCCAGTGATTTTGACCGCTTGAGGCCTATCCATATCGCGGGTACAAAAGGCAAGGGCTCGACCAGCGCCTTCATCTCGTCTATCATGGCCCAATACAAGTCAACCGATGCTGCCCACCCGCCCACCAAGGTTGGCCTATACACCTCCCCGCATCTGCGATCCGTCCGTGAGCGCATTCAAATCGACAATGAGCCTATATCGGAGCCTCTCTTTGCCAAATACTTCTTCGACATCTGGCATCGGCTGGAAGCAGCTGCTGCTGCCGACGTTTCGTCTTCATCCGACGTCCCTACCAAGCCCGTATACTTTCGATACCTAACGCTCATGGCATTCCATGCCTACCTCAACGAAGGGGTAGACTCGGCTGTCATTGAATGTGGTATCGGTGGCGAGTATGACAGCACCAACATCCTTGCCAATCCGACGGTCACGGCAGTGACCAGTCTCGGTATAGATCATACCGCCATGTTGGGGTCTACACTTGCTGAAATCGCATGGCACAAGGCTGGGATCTTCAAGCAGGGCAGTGTCGCATTCACAGCACCTCAAAAGGCCGAGGCCATGACTGTACTCGACGAGCGAGCATCAGAGCGCGGGGTAAAGCTCCATGTCATTGACGTGCATCCGGCTCTCGAAAACAACAGTATAAAGCTTGGGCTAGGTGCAGCGTTCCAAAAAATCAATGCTTCTGTGGCGATCGCTGCCGCTGCCGCGCATCTACGGGCGCTCGGCCATGCCTCAATTCCAGACCCAACGACTAGTCCGGCTATCGACTTACCACAAGAGTTTGTGCGGGGACTGGAGCAAGTACGCTGGGCTGGCCGATGTGAGATACGACGCGAGAAGAATATTGCGTGGCACATTGACGGCGCGCACACGCTCGAGAGCATCCAAGTCACAGGTCAGTGGTTTTCGGAACAGATTTTGAGCGGCTCACAGAAAGCCGCATGTCAAGACCGGGTGCCACGTATCCTCATCTTCAACCAGCAAACACGAGATGCAAGCGCCCTGGCTAGAGTCTTGTATACAGCACTGCAATCCAGCATCAGCTCTGCTTCCACCTCACCGTTCACGCATGTCATCTTCACTACCAACCAGACGTTTAGTCGAGGGTACAAAGCAGATCTCGTGTCGATGAATACAAATCAGCAAGAGGTGGACACGCTCGCAGTCCAGAAGGCGCTCGCGAACACATGGTCAGAAATCGATGGCTCAGCAGAGGTGCACGTGCTTCGAACGATTGAAGAGGCGGTCGCTACCGCCCGAGCTATAGCGCGTGAGTATGCGAATGCTGCTGGTCCTGATGCAGAGGTCATGGCCCTGGTCACCGGTAGTCTTCATCTGGTCGGCGGCGCACTAGAAGTCTTGGAAAGTAAGAGTGCAGCGCAATGATGGCTACTATGAAATCCTAGATGGCTCCGATGGGGAGCGGGACGAACGACTGACTTGGCTTGGCAAAACACTGCCATTACTGTTTCCATTGGACGTTGTGTTTGTGAGCATAAAGTGTGATGAGTGGAGACTTTAATCAAGCACTTGGAGTGAAGGCGTGGTCATGTTCAAGTAATCATGATACGTTCCCTGGTAGGTAGAAGGCTAGAAGCTATTTGTTTGGCATGCTCAGTGTTAGTAAGCGAGCGGCGGGGGGTGTGTGTGTGTGTGTCATGTGACATGTCAAAGTTACCCCAGGATTCGCTTAAGGCAAGCCATGTAAGGATCTGCCATTGCGGGCGATTGCGGATCTGCAGGACGGGATTTCTCGGTGAAGAGCTTGAATGGCAAGTTGGCTATTAGAGTGGAAGAGAGAGAGAGAGAGAGAGAGAGAGTGTGTGTGTGTGTGTGTCTGTGTGTGAAAGAGAGAGTAGAAGAGAGAGAGAGAGAGAGAGAGAGAGAAAGAGAGAGAGTTCTTTTTGCCACCGAGGTACCCTCTCATGCGGCCTCAAGCGATAGCTACCTACCGAGAGACAAGTAATTGACAAGGTCGTCATTCATGTAGGTTCACTGTATGTACTACATACTATAGTACTCTAAGAGTAGATGCCACCTCAGTTTGGCAAGCCATATCCATACAGTTAGTGGCAGTGGTCCACGGGTAGTCTCGCGTTCGATTCACAGCTTTCACTTGGCAGCTCGGCGAAGCGATGCTAGTTTTGGCCGCTTTGCCGTCCACGGATGATCTGCGAGCCGATGAGGATCATCGTTCTTTCAGATGTCATTAGGCATTGCGCCCACCCTATTATCTCCACGTCATCTTGCGACCCTAGGTACTCTGCTTGTCTCCTCTGGTTTCCTTGCCCAATCCACGCCTGCCTTTTTGTCACCAACCTATCGAACATCAAGCCCATACGTCTCCCAAGACAAAGACGTAACAAACAGCACGACGAAGATAAAAAGAAGAAAAAAAGAAGAAAAAAAGAAGAAAAAAGAAAGACACAATGAACTGCCCGTCCAGAACTGACGAAGACGTGCTCCTCAACCCGGGATGGAACCAAAACCCCCCACGTTTCGCCGCGGACCTCACCACGTGCGAGGATCTGAACGGCATCGCCAACGCCCGGGAAGTAGGAGAGGCGGATCGTCTGTCCAGCGGAGCTCGGGCCTTGCGGCGCTGCCACGTTGAACATGAAAATGGGCCGGAGAAGGAAAAGCAGCTGGGTTCGCAGGGCGAGGGTGTCAAACGGTCCTCTCAAGGTACGAGCAAAGAGAGAAATCCGAATGAGTGTTGTGGATCACGCCATGGTTGCTGACAGAAGGTGGGAAAGGACCTTGCACCCGAACAACCGCACCTGTGAAGGACACGGCAGAGTACCCAGCTGGTCTCGCAACCACCTCTAGCCTAGCCAGCTGGGCCAAATGGGCTTCCTCTGTTCTTCTTACCTCTGCTTTGATTTCCTATGCCTCTGGACGAGCGCACCCTTTGCGTGTGCCCACGACAAGTAAGCCTCCACCAAGACAAGGCGCCCGCTTGTCAAACTTTTCTCCTTCCCCCCAAAGCAGAGAGCTGATTTAGCATGGAACAGTCATGAGCCCGCCCACGCGCTTTTTCCGCCGCTCAACCTGCGAATCCGGCCAGTCTCTACCAAATTACGACCTTCCCTTCCACGTCGGCGGCCTCTTCATCATCCTCTTCGTCTCTGGGAGCGCCTGTGCTTTCCCAATCCTGGTCCAGAAATTTCCCCGCCTGCGAATTCCGCCTTCTTTCCTTTTCGGCACAAAGCATTTTGGGACCGGTGTCTTGATCGCAACTTCTTTTGTACATTTACTGCCCACTGCCTTCTTGAGCCTGAGTGATCCCTGTTTGAGTAGTTTTTGGACAAATGATTACCAGGCCATGCCAGGAGCCATCATGTTGGCCAGTATCTTCTTTGTCACCATTGTGGAGATGGTCTTTTCGCCAGCTCAGCATGTTTGCGGGGGAAATGAAGGCATTGTTGCCGTCTCGCAGAACAGAAAAGCGCACCGTGCAGAAGATGCGGAAATCAAGCAGGAAATACCGCCACCTCCTCCAGCCCCAAGAGGCGAGATTCGAAGGACGTATTCGGATGCCAGTCTTAATGTCCGCGATCTAGGAATGTTACGCGGCAGGATGGGGAGCATCAGCCGCACCTTGTCTCGTTATCGCGAGGATGGCCAGAGGCTTGACGCGATTGAGTCTATTGCGTCAGAGCACGAACAACCAGCTGATGCCGAGAAACAGGAGGATAACGAACAGGCTATTGTGGAGGACCCTGAGAGCATCCAACACAGACATGTCCTCTCTCCAGAACAATTGTATAAGAAAGCTATCATGCAGGTCTTCTTACTAGAAATGGGCATCCTGTTTCATAGTATCTTCATCGGCATGTCTCTCGCCGTTGCAGTGGGAAACGACTTCACTGTTTTGCTCATCGCCATCATCTTCCATCGTACGTATCACCCGCCCTTTTCACCCTGTCCCTGCAAAGCTGACGGTTGTGAAGAAACCTTCGAAGGTCTCGCCCTTGGTGTTCGCATCGCCGATATCAATTGGAAATCCGGGTCATTCCAACCCTGGCTCATGGCACTCGCATACGGCTGCACCACTCCTCTCGGTCAAGCCATTGGCATAGCCACCCACACGCTCTACTCTCCCGCCTCCGAAGTCGGCCTTCTCGTTGTCGGTATCATGAACGCCATCTCCGCAGGCTTTCTCATCTTCGCGTCCTTGGTGGAGCTCATGAGCGAGGATTTCTTGAGCGATGAGAGTTGGAAGATTTTGAGGGGGCGGAAAAGGGTCATTGCCTGTTTGTTAGTCTTTGCAGGCGCTTTTCTGATGAGCTTGGTTGGGGCTTGGGCGTGATGAGTGGGCATCGCTCGGAAGCAGACTTGGTGTGCAGAAATTGGGAGGAGGCTCAGTAAAAAGTAGAAAGAGGACTGGTGAATGGGGGAGTGGAGAGCCAAGGAGGACTCGATGGGGTATATACAGGAGATGGTTACATGTACATGAACTAGATTATCGACCATCAAACTTCATCTGGTACACGGGACCGTTTTATTTTTCGTACTTGGCAATTTTCAATGCGACAGATTATTGTATACTTGGACTACACTTACAGCATTTTCAGAGCACATGGATACCATGTGTCTATATGCTATGTTATATCCCACATGGGAATAGAAACTGTAGCTGACATCCATGATACAGCCAAACGTTGGTTGTGAGATCAGGGGCTCCCTCATGAGGATATCACCTATACTTGATGGCTACAATACGCTATCGAGTGTCAAGACACTTGTAGAAACTAGTACGCAATGTTACAAGCAGTCTCTGTCTTTAGAATTCATGCATAGCTTATTCTTATAACTACCTCCTGTTTCCAGAATCATTTATAGTAAACCTCTTGACCGTTTAATCACTTCCCGTGACAATCATCCATGAGTTCAACAAGCACCCGGTCAGGCCCCACTCCCCCCTCGAACTGCACATCTCCCCAGATCGACTCGATCGTCTCCCCTTTCTTTATTGTCTTCTTCATGAATAGGTGACTTGCACCTATATCAAATTCTCTCCTTGATGCATCTACCACCGCCAATGCTTTCCCTCCCTTCTCTACCGCCGAGGCAGGATGTGCAATCTTGTCTCCGTCCTTGCTCACATCCAGATGCCGTGTCTTCCAAGCCTCCATGGTGAACTCTTTGGCTCCCTCATCCATCGCTGGGACTGCCAAGAATACCCCAAGCCCAAATCTAGTGCCAAAAAAGACATGTTCCACCGCAATGCGATGCGCGAGTAGCAATCGCACCTTCACGCACCCTTGCTTTTTCTTCACTTTCTCATCCATGAGCATGGTAAGCGCTTTCGCCATATCGCGTGGGATCTGCCCTGTAGGCTTCTTCTTTCTCCCCTTGAGGACACCATCAGATGCATCCCAGTGAATCTGGATATGGTAATCCGCCACTTTGCCCAGCCAGGGATGCTGCTTTATCAACTTTTGCAGATGTGATTCGACCTTCTTCACCCAATTGTCATGCACAAAGGTGCCGACTTTGCCCTTGAAGACAACTTTTATGTTCAGCTGTACGGCATTTGCTTTGAGCCAGGCGTGGTATTCATGAGCTTCCAGAAAGCGGTATGGTTGGAGTGCAAGAAGGCTGTTTGATCCATGGTGTACTGGTGTGATGGTAATAGAGGTGTGTTTGCATTCGTAGTACTTGAGCTGGAAGGGCAAGAATCGAGCGGTTGGGGTGCAGGTGGTGTCCTTGGTTGAAAGGTAAGAGTAGATTTCGATGCGCAGTTCTGGTGGAAGCTGCGACAGCAGGAGCCGATAGTTGCTGGCCATCGTACTTGATGTTCGTCGAATAGTATTTCAAGAGTGGGATGAATGATCTTATGCGCTGGTCCGCAAAAATATCTTTTGTACCGCAGAATTGGTGATACCGCTAAGGATCCATGCGAACCAAGGTACGTGGATGGCGAGAATAATAGGAAACTGAATAAGTTGACATTACAGCGCAGTGCTAAACTTTGGTGAGTGACCACAAGCGATTTCTTGCTATACAAATCCCGAACAATAGCACCAAACGCGGAGTGAGTGCCAAGTCACGTGAACACGTTTCCTATTGCCCCATGAAGGTGAAAGCGACGACAGATGCAGTGAATTGTCCAAGCTACCAGGCTTTTGGTAGCTTGTTAGCCATAATTTTGACACGATGGATCAGTAACCGAATACCTTTTCAAATTCCTTGGTATGCTGGTGAAAAAAAGACCAGCAAATTTGCTGGTGGGCGGTTTAATGGGGTAGTGTCGGCAACGGCTCGGCACGATGCGTATTTGCGTCCTTGGGTTAAGAGGGAATCAGGGCAGGTCACACTTTTGTATTTGATCCTTTGATTTCCAATACCTTACTATTGCTATTGGATATACCTACACCGGTGTCAGTACTACTTCCAGGAAGCCATGAGGGCACAAGGGAGTTTGCGGAGCCAGAGTGCGAGCTTGAGCGACGGAGGGAAAGGAAACGACAGGAAATATCTTGGAAACCAAACTCCTTACCTTGCTTTGTTACATGTCATGACCAAGAAATCATACCGTATATGGTTCTTTGCCCCCAAAAAGGGTAAAAAGATCGTGGCTAACATTGACCTCATCCCTCCATCCTGAATCGGCACTTCCAACAAATCAACAAACAAATCCCTGATCTTGCAAGTTTCGCTTCGGACTTGAATACTTTGGGAGAATGCGTACCGGTATATCGCAGAGTCCCTGTCGCTTAGACTTATGTCCCAAGGTCATGCATGTTAGCTGTGGAGTCACCTGTGTATGACTGAATGCCTGAAAGCAAGTGCAGAGACAAACGCACTGCGCCACGATGACAATGACTGTATAGAGTCCCATGAGTGACATTGACACAGGTACCTCGTCAATAGGGCAGGCAAATACGAGGTTTGCGCCCTTTTCCAAGCGCCGCTGTGCGGAATCAGGAACAGGGTATGGAAAGGGGTCTATCTTCACCGCGGCGAAATTGGATGTTGATTGGCCACCTAACAGCTACTGGTATCTTGACCAAATCACGTGCAAGTCAGACAAAGATCCCTCTACTCTACCATCAATAGCAAAAGTCAACCAGACCACGTCAAGTGTCATATAGTAACAGCCCGATAATCCTAACTCAAACACCAGCCCGTAGAACGCCAATTTTTATGTGAATACAATACGCTACTGTGACTTTACAAAGTATCTGCTGCAGCTTTTGCCTTTTCGAGTCTCGCCCGCTTCCTGCGCAAACTCTCCGACTCGTTGTCGCGCTTGTTCTCGCCGTATTCGATCCGCTTGAGTAGCTTGCGCTTCTTGTTGGACAACATCATCTTCTGCCTCTCACGCTCCTCCTCTTCTGCACGCTTCTTCTTATCAAACTTCTTACGGATAGCGGCATTTTGCTCCTTCTTAGACAGTTTGACTGGTTCCAGCTTCTTGCCTGTGGCCTCTGCCTCCAACTCTCGCTGATGTTGTAAGCGGGCGGCCTCGGCCTCGGATATGTCAGACTCTGCATCAGAGTCCGACGACCCATCCAGTTCTTGAGTTTGATTCTCAGCGTCCGAATCGCTTTCCTCGCTGTCATCATCATCATCCTCAGTCTCGGCAACATCCATGCCCTCTCCTACTTCGATTGAACCCTCACGGTCAATGATTGCTTCCATGTCCTTGTCGCCGTCAACATCAAAAGCCGCCTCCTCTTCGTCTTCATTATCGTCCTCAAATGCTTCTGCCTCACCCTCTGGTTGTTGTGCGGCAAGTGGAAGGTTGGGGTCGTATTCGCCCTTTCTAGGCTTGACCCATGGGCTCAAGTGAGGAGGGAGCTCGGCGCCAGGTGAATAAATATCTGGTCGTAGTAGTTTGCCTTGGTTGATGCAGTCCCAAACCCATTGAGGCTGAACATAGGTCCGACCTGGCATAGTGGACCGTGGCCACTGAGCCTGGGGAAGTGCAGCACTGCCGGTCTCAGTCTCTGGCACATGTGCAGCAGATGCACCATTCGAGAGTGCAGGTCTGTCCACGACTTGATGTGTGATGGAGGGATCAGACTCGTTTGTTGTAAATGCACCGTCACCCAGGATTCCATCCCAACCTACTCGCTTACAGCCAAAGGCTTTCAGTATGAATTCGAGCGGTGCTCTTGGGGTTTCACGAGAGAGGAAGAATGTGAAGGATGAGAATAGAGAAGCAATTTCGGCACTGCTAGCTTGCGGTTGTGGGAGAATGTCAGCATCAGGCGCCGTTGGCTCAAATTTATCAATTTCTTCCGTTGCCTCCTCGTCCTCGTCTTCGTTATCTTCTGCGACTGCAGATAGCTCGGCAGAGGCTTTTTCTTCAGGCTCAACATCAGGCAAGGCGGCGATGCGATCTGCTATCGCCTGTGCCTCTGGGTCGATATCTGCGTCTTCAGCGCGGGCGTTGACCGTACCGTTTGGAGCGATGCCTTTTCCTTGCAGTTGGAAAGCCGCCAATTCCCCACCCTGCTCGTCGCTCTTGGCATTGAACTTGGGAGGGTAGACTAGACCAACGGAAGTGTGGGTCCTAGACAATAGCAGCGAGAGCCCTAGAAAATAGTGTAAAATTC